TGATGGGCTTGGGGCAGAGGGTCTGTATGCATTACTCTTAATCCTCTATCTACCGAAGATTGCCAGTGTTTGGTGTATGGTTTCCATCTGTTTGCAGATATTCAGCACTGGCTTTGTTTCATGCCATAGGCTTACAAAGTTTTTCATCTAGGTTTTTTTTCCCTTTTTATAAGAGTAAAGATTCTCCGGGTAAAATGAGAAACAAGGTGATGAGAGGAACATTGTAGGGGATGATAAGTTTCATATTTCCATCACCCAAAACATACGCATTTAGGCTGGAGTAAGATCTTCTGTATTCATTTCTCTGCTTTAAACCGTACACAGGATAAATTACCTGTAGCTGAGAGCTCAGCTGTGTATATCCCCAGGGGAGAAGAGCAAGTGGCTCATATCTGACTGCTTAATTTTTGCTCATTCCCGTAGATTCTACTCTGAAGGATGGGCGCCAAGAAAAACTTTTTCCTATTTATGCTTCCTCTTCTCTTTTCTGGGTTCCTGCACACTCGCACTCACGCATGATGGCTGCACTTACAGGAGCCTTGAATACTGGCTGGCAGGAAATCTACCACCTTTCCCTGTCCATTCATTTCCCACTTGTTTTCATGCTTATTACTCACTTTCTCATTCTTAAACTTACAATGCTTTATTCCCCTTCCTCACTCATGGCTAATGATGAATCATATTTTCCTATTTCACTGAGATATTTCTGCATGTTTCCACCTCCACATAATACTAACCTAAGTGCACATGTACCCCATCAATTCTGCCTTTCCTCACTTCTGTGGATAAACTGTTTACCTATCTATGCCCATCCTCTCTAGTAGGCCCTGGGTCCTGCTCCTTCTCACTAGCTCATAGATGTCACCCCAGCAATGGTTCTGTTCTGGTTGTTCCGTTTCTCTGCTGCATAATCATTCCCACAAGCATGTCATGCTACAGTGGCTCTCATCTTTAAAACAAAAAGTAACTACAGCAAAAGCGTGTTCTTAATCTCACATTCTTCTCTGTGTACGTTTCTGCTTCTTGTATCAAGCAAAACTCCTTAAAAGCGTTATCTACACTTGCTCTCCTCTCTTTCCTGCCATTCTTGCTTGCTCTGACCTCAGGCATGTAGCACCCCAGTCAAGGTCACCATTTACGTAGATGTCAGTAACGTTTGACACAGATGCTCATACTCTCATTTTTGAAACACTTTGTTTACTTAGCTCTGGGATACCTTAACCTATGCCTCCACTCTCTCTTTGCCAGTATTTCCTTCTCTCTCACAGGTATCTTAGGCCTCAGGTGCACCTTCTTCTAAGGCTCTAGTTGTACAAAGACCACTTTACCTCCCAGCCTTGAGAGCCATACACCGTGCATTTGAAGTTGAGGTGCTGTGCTAAAGGTTTTTACCTTTTTAAAGTCTCTTTAGAATTAAGGGTGTTATGTATAATGTCTTGGTACCTTTACCTGCTTTACTAACAGCCTGGACAGGCCACAGGATCCATAAAAATTTCTTCCCCTGTTTAGAAATGTTGACTTTTTGGTCATCATCCTTAAAGGGTTCTTACTAAGTAACCAGTCTTACTTGCTCTTAGTTTTTGACCCAGTTCATTCTCTTCTGCCTTTGTGTTAGACACAATCCTTTGGACTTTTTCTAGTTTCTTGCCAGTTTTCTGTTACATAGCAAATGCCAGTTCTCCATGTTCTTTGAATTTGTGGGTCAGCCCTGGACATTCCTATTATTGGTTCCCGAGATTCTGAACCCATCTGGGAAGAGGTCAAGCAGAAGAGCTTTTGCTTATTAATAACTTGCTTTTGGCTTCTGTATCTCTGGATTTGCTCCTTCCTTCCTTCCTTCCTTCCTTCCTTTCCATCCTTCCATCCATCCAATATTTATTGAACCCTTTTCTAGACACTAATAACACACAATGGAAAGAACAAAGTCACTGAAATTGTCATTAAATAAGAAGAATTTGAATGGTTAGAGTTACCACACACCGAGCCCCTTAGAGATAAATAACATTGATCATCTTGTTTATTCTATCTAAGGTGGAGGAAGAGAAAACAGGTAGTTGACTTGCTTGTGCTTGCTAAAATGTAAAAGTAGGTACATATAATAGCATACTGATTTCTGAAATTTAATACAGCAGTATGTGTGCTTGGATTGTGGACTTTGCTGTATCTCTGATTTCAAGTTCCTTGTCCTTGACTCAGCCCTGTCTAGAAATGGACTGTTCTGTTCTTTTTGTGTTTACCCTTTCTTCCTCTGGCTTACTTTAGCCTCCCCCTCTCCTTTCCTCCTTGTTAGGTGCTAGTGGCCACTGCTAATTTGAGAAAGGAACCCATTACACTTAGGATAATACCCAAGTGTACTAACCCCCACTGTCTCTGTTTAGTACCTTGACCACAGTATGCCCCTGTAGCCTCCCAGGAAAAGACCTCACCCCTACCCCCAAAGGTAGAGTCAGGGTCCTCTTCTTGCCTTACCTGTTTTTACCTTCTCTGTATCTAAAGATCTGTAAACCATTGAATGTAAGTAGCATGAGGGCTTCTCAGTTTCAATCAGTTTTGTTCATGCTTTGTCCTTAGTACATAGAACAAAGACACACACTCAGTAAATATTTGCTGAATTGAATGATTCAAGGCATCAGTGAATCAAGATGTGGTATTAATTTGATGATTCTTTCTATACAATAGGCATTTAAAAAAAAAAACACAAAAACAAGTTTTGGTTCTGTTGGTCTCTTCCTATTAAACCCAGTTTGTTGGATAAAACTGCTCTCATCATTCATATTTGCTCCTCTCCATTTGGAAATACATAGTACTAGATATACTCATTATTGTGGATATCTGCTAATATTCATTTGTGCCTTTGAAGTGAGGGTCACTGGAGGTTCCCAGATGTAGGTCTGTGAATTTGTTATATCAGATTCACCTTTG